CTGTGTGAGAAGTAAGCTCGAAACCCTAAATTTTAATGCACAATGTGTGTCGTCAATCCCACTGTGTGCTTTAAATTTCAGTTGAAAATAATGGACAATTTAATACACAAAAACCGCTTTGAGTAATTTTTGAGATTTCTGCTCTGCGGGATTTTACAGCTACAAAGCCCGATTTCATAAATCGCAGCCCATTTAAAGGCAAACACAAGCCCAATTTGAGGATTTCGCATTCGATGAAAAGTGGGCTCATAAACTCCGGTTATTAAATGTGGGCTCATAAACTCCGGTTATTCACCAAATTCACGATGGGTCGTGGAACTAACAGAAAATCACGGAAAATCTTAGGGTGCTTCGTTTCTTGCTGTGGAAACCGCTCTAGAACGAAATTTTAAGAAATTAGAATGGAGTGAGGAAGCAAGAGCGTGAAGAGGAAGAAGGGGAAGGAAAGAGGATAAAGAGGAAACTTATATATAGTTACTACGAAAGCGAATTTAGCTGGGATTTATACTGTTCACACGGCTGGCAACCACCGACCATCAGTAACTGACAGTGTCTAAGATGTAAAGGACGTCCACTCATTCTGTTTCCAAAAAACTTTTCGCAGTGAATAATTCCCACTTACGCACGAAATGATCGTTGATGCCATTAAATTTCAGTTTATCCTGTTCTTCGCAATTGCAATTCCATCAGCGTTTTCACTAGTCTGGTTAACACCATATGCAACCTATGGTTTCGATGCCGAACTGTTAATGTGGGAATACGATAGCCCTGATTTTATGCCTTCTTATGATCGGTTGACCACTCTGGCTACCAGCATACTTGCCACTCTCTGCTATGTCCTTGTTCTGATTTTTGTTCTTCGAAAGGTCAGTTCCATTGCCTCTTTGAGAATTTTATTTAAAATTAGGCAAACAACTGCGTCTTTGCACCTTTTTAATCAAGGGGCCAGAACTTTCTGTATTTGCAGTTTGGGTTCTGTTTGAGGAACCAGCATTCATCGAGGTCTTTACCATTCATACTGTTAACGATCTGACTGCTCCATTGTAGTGCAAAAACGTATGATCAAATCGACAATTGTTGTGCGCTGCTGCTAATTTTATGCTTTTTTCTGCACGAAGCGTTCATGCAGGAGTTCCCTATGGCAAATTGTTGTCTATAAATCCACATCCGGCAATTTCTTCTATTTTTTTCAAACAGAATCCAAAGTATAAAAGAAACGGGAATTTTTAAAAACCTCGTTTGTTATTCCAGTAAAGTTGCTCTCATAGGATCCTCACAGCGATCGTCTAGGTGTTCTTTGTATTCTAGTGATTACAAGGTAAAAAAATATATAATAAAAGTGCATACTATTTTTAAAATGAGAGAATCGAAGTCAGTGCTAGCAGGAGTGAATTATACTTAATTTTAGAGCTGGTCGTCAAGGAGCAAGGTTAGTGACAATTCTCGGCGACGAGACACA